CACTTTTGCATGAATTGTACTAAGTCCACTATGTATGCTATGACTAATTTCATCGATACTAAGAATTTTAGAGGCAATACATCCAAAGTTTGTATCGACTCCATGATAAAATGAGTTGATGCATTTCTTGTATTTTCAATATTTTGTTTCTCTCTATTTAGTATGTATCGACTCTAATCACGTATGAGTCGATACATTCGTGGTTTCTTCAGCTTTTCCTTTCAGTATGTATTGACTTTAATTTCGGATAATTTGATACATCCGTGTTTTTTTTTTCTGCAGACTACTCCAAGGCCCATCGGGTCAACCCATCCACTCTAAAAGTCACATTTCTTCCCTTTTCCACGCATCAATCATTTAATTCACTCTTAATCTCTATTTTACTCATTTTTTCAAACTTCTCTTCATTTTCCAAGCAAGCTAGGTTCCCTAGAAAATTCATCTATTTCTCCTCATTTCATATTTCCTCATAAAATATATCTCTTCCATTTTCAAAATCCATTATCTTCATCTCTTGTTTTCTGATTCGTGTGATTAGGATCTATCTCTCTTAGTCCATATAAGGCTTTATGCAACTTGTACACAACCTCTTCCTGATTCTTTTTCACAAATCCAGGAGGTTGTGACACATAAACTTCCTCTAGTAAAGTACCATTAAGAAATGAAAATTTCACATTTAAATGCATCAGATGCCAATTTCTATTAGCATCTATAGTCATCACCAAATTAATTGTTTCATGCCTAGCTACAGGAGCAAACACCTCAAAATAATCTAATTCATATTTGTGTAGAAATTCTCTAGCTACTAACCTTGCTTTGTGTTTGAAAATTGATCCATCTGGCTTTAGTTTTAACTTATAAACCCATCTCATGCCGATGGCTTTCTTATTCTTTGAAAGCTTAGTAAACTGTCAACTTTTATTTCTTTCTATAGCCTCAAGTTTTTCTTTCATGGCCTTCAACCACACTTTCTTCTTGAGAGCTTCTTTAGTACTAACTGGTTCAGAGTTCTACCAACATGGCACACTAAATGACTTCCCCTTTAGAGTCTATCTCAACATCTTGAAACATGTCAAACTCTGCAAATCTTCTTGGTATTTAATTGATTCTTTGTGGCCTCTGAACTTGTCCAGAATCTTCTTCAGATGCTGGAACAATATCAGATGTTAGACTACCTTCAGACGTTGGATCACCTTCAAGAGCATGACCACCTTTAGAGGCATGATTACAACTAAAGCCTGGATCATCATAAAATATGGATCAGAAACAGATTCATCTTTAGAGTCAAACTCACCTTCAAACTCATCTTCAGCATCAGAGTCACCTTTAGACTCTGACTCATCTTCAGAGGCAGAATCTTCTTTAGCAGCATATTATCCTTCAGAGTCTGAAATATCTTCAAAATTTAACTCGGGTGTTACCACTGCATCAGAGTTAGATTGAGACTTGTTCCAATCCCATGCTTCTGGTTCTTTCACAATAACATCTCTATTGAATTCAACTTTGTTAATGACTGGACAATAAATCTTATAAGCACTTGTACTATGGTACCCAATTAGTAACATTACTTTGCTTCTACCATTCATCTTCTTTCTAGTAGCACCTGGAACATGTTTGTAACAAACATAACCAAATACTCTGAAATGACTTATATTTTGCTTATCTTCAGTCCATTTCTCAAAAGGAACAATGCCTTTCAGCTTCTTAGTTGGACACCTGTTGAGCACATATGCTATAGTGACGGAGGCTTCTCCCCATAAGGTGTGAGGGAGCTTCTTCTCCTTCAGTATGCTCTTTGTCATATCAAGCAAAATCTTGTTTCTTCTTTTAGCAAGACCATTGTGTTGTAGAGTATACGGAGCAATCACCTTATAATCTAATCTATTCTCTTCACACAAACTTTTGAACTCTGATGAGTTAGACTCACCTCCACCATCATTTATGAGAACTTTCAACTTCTTACCACTCTGTTTTTCAGCCTTCAACCTGAACTTATGAAACTCAGCAAATACCTCATGCTTAAACTTGATAAATGCTAGCCATGTCATTCTTATGAACTCATCCACAAATGACACAAATTACTCATTTCCTCAAAGTGAAGATACTTTAAATGGTCAACATACATCATAACACACTACTCAAAAGCATGTTTTTCTCTTGGAGCCACTTTTGATGCAAATGACAATCTAGGTTGCTTTCCTTTTATGCATAACTCACATGACTTCTCAACCTTCACAATATTAGGAATGCCATGTACCGACTTCTTAAAACTTAAATGCTTTAAGTTTCTAAAGTTCAGATGCCCCAATCTCTTGTGCCACAACTCACTGTCACCTTCAGCACTAAGGCATTTAGTTTCAGCTGTTTCCACATCCACTTTGAATGTTCTGTTGCTTCCCTGTTCAGATTGGATAATCAACTTTTGATCAGAATCATACAACTTCAAGAGATGGACCTTCATAGTAATTGGTATACCTTTTTCAATTAGCTGACCTACACTCATTAGATTCCTCTTCATGTCAGGAACATACCAAACTCCCTTGATCAAAGCAGTTTTGCCATTCTTCACTTTGACTTTGACATTTCCCATTCCTTTAGCGTTAAGGTACTTATCATCGACACATCTGATCTTTGTCCTCTTTCTAGAGTCAAAATCAATCAACCATTATTTATTTCCAGTTAGGTAATTTTGGTAGTCCGTGTCCATATAACACCAGTCTACCAAATATGCACCATCAGATTCAGAAGCCATCAATAGCACAGGTTCATCATCAGACTATCCTCTGGCTATGTTTACTTCTTATGACTTCCTTTCCTTGTTTGACCAACAATTAGCAGCAAAGTGGTCAAACTTCTTACAACAGTAGCATTGAACTTCTTCTTGTCAAACCTCTACTTTCCCTTTCGATGTTTATTCTCATCAGAGTTTGAAGCTTCTGACTTCTGATAACCACCACCATCTCTATTATAAGCCTTTAATCAAGACTGCTTCTGATTCTTCTTACTAAAAGACACTTTCAGAGCCAGTTTTATGTCTCTTTAAGATGTTCTCTTAATCAAACGCAACTCTTGTGCCTCTAGACTACTCTGCAGATCTTCAATTCTCATGGTTCTGGGGTCCTTAGAGTTTTAAATTACTACAATAATGTAATAAAACTGAAGACTAAATGATTTAAGTACCTTTTCAATGATTACTTGTTTAGAGAGGGTTTCTCCACATGATTTTATCTCATTTGTGATCATAATCACTCTGGAGTTATAATCAGGTACCTTCTCATTGTTCTTCACGTAGAGATTCTCATACTGCTTATGTAGAGACCTTAGTTTCACCTTTTTCACTGATGCATCATTGTCGTAGCACCGTACCAGTTTGTCTCACGCAACCTTTGTCGTCATTGAATTAGTGATCTTATCAAACACATTTGTATCCACACACTGATGGATATAAAACAACGTCTTGTGATCCTTCTTCCTCGTTTCTATATGCGTGTTTTTTGTGCTTTAGTTGCATCTACTGCAACCACCGTGTAACCGTCATTGACGAGATCAAGAACATCTTAAACACCAAACAACACACGGATCTGAATCATCCATCGATTCAAATTCTTTCCATTAAAGACTGGAAGCTTTGTGTTTAAACTACCATTTTCGATGGTCATCTTTGATCTTGTGCTGGTTCACTCAAAACTCACCAACACTTGTGTTTCCCAATCCCTCAGAATCAAGAAATATGATTTTGTCTCGATTTAGATCTTCAATTCATTGAGAATTGAATGAGTAGAATCAATCACACACCCCTTACATACACTCATGTTTTTTGTTATTGAATTTATACTAAAGCTTTAAATGCCAATCGTTGGATCACAAGGTTGAAGATGAAGAAAGAGATAAATCTTTAACTAACTTTCTAACAGAATTGAAAAATTAGTTATGAATTTGAATATGTTACAACTGAAATGTGGTTTAAAATTTATACTATCAGAACCACTATAAATGAAATGCAAATTAATCTAAAATGCAACTTGAAATGAATGTGAATTTGGATTTTATTTATATATATATATATATATATATATATATATATATATATATATATATATATATATATATATATATATATATATATATATATATATATATATATATATATATATATATATATAATTTGTGAGATTTAATATGAGTTACATTGATGAAATACAAATTAAAAGAGTTGTTTTAAAATAATGTGAGTTATCGAGATCAATAGAATAACTATGTGACGGGTTGCACGAGTTGCCTTATAAATTTCAGGTAGGAATGGTTGTTATAATACAGTCCTAGTAACGTTTATATTCTGACACGAATTCATTGTATTCACTTAAGAATTTCCTTTAGAAATATATAAATACTCAATCATTTTAAAATGTAAGTATTATACACCTATATTATAAGATACTCTTTGTATTATCGTTCAATAGCAATTCATACTATTAATTTAAAAATTATAACCTGATTTAAAAGAATACACTAAGAGATCACCGTATAAAATCTAATGTGATTAAATTGAGATTATTCTATATATATAAAAAATGTTGATGCGACAGCAATATTTAAAACCGTTGTAGGTGTAACTTGGGTGGTTATATGAAATGGTTGAAATGACCTACTAGTCTATAAAGATGCATCGAGTTAGGAGAGGTTCAGATATCGAAGTGATTTAAAGACATTGCTTTTCCTTTATATAAATACCGAACCGAACCACTTATTATACCCTCTTTAATGCTTCTTCTTTCTACTACTACTATTTACAATTGTTCCGTTACTACTCTTATCAAACAAACAAACCATTTCTCATTTTCACATTTCAACTCCATCACGCTCACCGTCTCTGGCCTTCTTCACCACTCTCCGATCGTAGATCTTCCACATCCCCGCCACCGGAGAATGTGAGAAGGCATATACCGGAATTATAAAACTTGAAGCACGAGTTACCGGAATCACTTTCTCTTGTAAACAACATGAAAAACCAGCTCCAAGATTGCACAGAGTCGGTTCAGGCTAAGCCGTTGGTGAATGAGACTCTGCGACAGCTCGAGGCAGCGAAAAGAACTGTCGAGTTCTTGAGGTTAGATGCTGCAAAAGCTGTGCATGGATATAACTCTTCTGCTTTAGAGTTAAACGAGTCTAGAACACGGGTGAAATCAATCGGCAGTAATTTGAAAATAGAAGCAGAAAGATTGGGAAAGGGAGATAGCACTAATCATATTGAAATCGAGTTTCGTTCTTTGAGATCTGAGGTTGAATTACTTAGGTCTGCGATTGAGATTGCCGAGATTAAATTTCAGGAAGAACAGATTCAGAACACAGTCAAGATTAGGAACGCTTACGAGTTAATCGAACGGATAAAATACGAATCGAGTCAGAAGGAATCAGAACTAGAAAGAAAGAAAGCTGAAATTGAGGAGTTGAAGGAGAAATTGTTGGATAAGGAAAATGAGTTGCAAGGTATTGTAGATGAGAATGAGAAGTTGAATTCGAAGCTTGAAAAAAGTGTATCGTTGTCAACGAAGAAAGAACGCGAACTTAAGGAGGAGCTTAAAAGGTTAGACGAATGTGTGGCCGTAATGAAGGGTGAAATGATGGATAAAGAGACAACATTGCAAAGTATATCAGAAGAGAATGAAATTCTGAAGATGGAAATCAATAAGAGGTTCACATTCTCACACGTTGGTATGATGAGCGATGAAGTTGCAGCCGAAATAGGGGCGGCCAAGGCTGCAGAACGCGACGCATTCGCGAAACTTAAGATAATGATTGAGGAGGCAGATAGGAGTAATAACAAGGCGGCTAGAGTGACTGAGATGCTCGAAGCAGCACGAGCGGCGAATACGGAAAAAGAAGCTGAGTTGAAGAGAATCAAAGTGCAATGTGATCAGTGGAGGAAGGCTGCCGAGACAGCTGCTGCTATGTTTTCGGCAGGGAAAAATGGAAACATCGCGGAGAGATCGATGTCTATGGACAACAACTACAACAGCAGTGTGATGAAGAGTAATAAGTACTCAAACTTTTATGAAGAGATTGATGATTGGAGTGACTTACAAAGAAAGAAAAATGGGAATGTGTTGAAAAAGATTGGTGACTTGTGGAAAAAGCCTCAGAAAATCACTAGTTGATTCATGGAAGTGCTTTTTGAATTCACTGTCCAGTAAGTTGTTGCTGGAATTTTTTGTTGTGCAATTCCTTTTTGCTATGTAAGTGCTGTGCTGCCATAGATTTGAAACTGTTCTGTGAACATTGATAATTTAGATTAAGTTGTTGAATGAATATTGTTATTAGGGATTTAATCATGGATCATCTAGCTCAACTAGCGTATATCAACTAGCATAATTAACTAAAATTTCACAATTATGAATTAATCATAATTTTATGTGTAATTAATCATATGTTGCAAGTGTAGGAAAAATTGTGAGTCGTATTTTTTCATTATTATGATGGATTTATGATTCCTCCTTTTTTGCTTGTGGCACAATGTTAGCTAATTAAAACGGGGTTAAAAACAAAATAGACACAAAAACAACAAAAACGAGAAGAAAAAAAATAAAGTGGGCCAAAACATGTAGACGAAAGTAAATGGGTCGGGACCAATTAAATTGGATTTAAAAAGGAAATTTGGAATATTTAACTTGCCACCCTTCATTTAAATCTAACATTCTTTGGAGTTTCATAATTTCAAAACTCTCCTTAAAAAAAATTTGAAACAAATTTTCGTACGAAATTTTCGATAGACATATTAGAATTTCCGGTACACACTAAATTTACGTTTGTGTATTTATAATTTTTGATAAGTTACGTGAATTTTTAAATATTATCGGAAATTCTAAATGTTTCATTTTATACCAAAAATTTCAACCAAAATGAAATATCCAGTAGTTCATATTCAATAAATTTTTTATTAACACTAACAAAATTAAGAACTGATACTCACGTGAATGTTCAACCTAAATTTATGTCTAGAGTTTAAACCCAACATATATTACTATAACATTAATATCAGATTAATGATTTGATTCTTATATAACGCCATGATCAGAAAACGTACACATGATTAACCTTTTTTACATGCATTCACCTAATCTGCCAAATGTATGTGAACACGTTTTTCATTTCTATTATCACGCATCCTCACAGTACTATATGCGTCAAGAACATTATCGTGGTTTCTACCGTGTTGATCATACTCATTCTATTCATGCTACTAATCAACATAATATGATGCAAATGAATATCAACTTAAAAACCCATGTCAAAAGTTTGCTCATTGATAGATGAAAATCTAATACCAAAGATTTGAAAAAGGTTATGTCAAGACCCACAAATAAGCAATCAAAGACAATCAACAATAGAGAATCAAAACTAGTTCACAAACATACATTAGATGAAATACATAAGGTATCAAAAGATTACATTCAAACGCAAGAATAGATTGAAGATCTTACCATTTTCCTCTTATGATTTGTGTTTCTCTCTCTAGAATATACTTGGAATGAAGAGAGATAAAATTCTGATCCCAAAATATATCATATGTTTCTAAAAAGTAAGAAAAATATTTATATAGTATTTACAAAATCTTTCATGTTCACACTGCGAACTACCTATTCGCCTAGCGAAGTTCCTTTTTGGCACTTGAAGTGCCTCAGGAACAATTAAACCGCCCTTGAAAAATATATGAGTTCGTCGTGCGAGCAATTCTTCGCCCTGCGAACTACCTCGATACAAGTTCGACAACGAACTTTGAGTCCTTTAGCTATTGACTTCCAAGGTTTCCTCCTCGTTGATACTTCTCCCATCGAACATTCGCTGGCTGTTCGCCACTGTTTGTCCAGCGAACATTGCAGAATCTTCATATTTCTTTGATTTCCTTGTCAAATCTTTTGTGTTTTACTCATTGATGTTTTATACCTAATTTCGGCATAATAACACACATCAAAGAATCAGGTATTTGCAATATATTTGAAGAATCACACAAGAATAAGAATTAAATCTATGAAAACATGAGACTTGAGTTGAAAAGTGCCAAGAAATATGGTTCATTTTAAGTCAAAATTTTCACTTAACAAACTCTCCCCAACTAAATTTTTGCTTGTCCTCAAGAAAAGTATGCCCCTCATAAAAATAAGATAAATTTGCTCAAACAAGAGGATTTGCTCAAGAATAAGATTTAACCAAGAAAAGATTAACGGTTCAAATTCAAAACAGCAAAATTTGCTTAAATAAGAGGATTTAGTCAAGCATGCAAATACGCACAAGCAACTTTCAACGCTCAATAAAATCGAACTATGACAAAGAATTTAGTTCTTAAACAAATATCATGCAATGTTTCAAATAACAACTAAATTCTCATAATTGAATCACTCTAACATTCTCTTTAAAATAAGAATGAAGAAATTAACACGGTTGCAACCGCGGAGAAATTTCACTCACCTAACAAACAATGCTAAAAACAACCTAATTCATAAATTCATCTAACAATCAAAAATGAAAACAATCAAAGTGAAAAGATCACTAAAGGCTTTTATGGTTGTAGCTTGGTCGGGTTTACAACAAAGGGTCATTTCTTGAGGCCATGTAATCGAAATTTCCAATGCAAAAGAAACATTCATTATACAAGTTACTTACACATCACAACTTCATTCACCACTTTATTTCCTCTATTGCAAACCTTCTCAAATTTTCTTTTGCACAATCATTTCATTCTCTATTTTTATTTTTCAAATAAGTATTCTTTTTCTTTTGTTTTTCACATTCATATTCACATTTTTTCTTTTCATGTTTGCTTGAAAATTTTCAAAAGTTTTAGCAACCTACCATTCTTCTTTTTCATTCTCCCTAATTTAAATTCAACCAAACCTCAAGTGAATGCTCTTTCCTTTTTATGGCAAGGAAATCAATTTAGAACAATGTTCAAAGGTTCAAGAAGAAATTTTTAGAATCTTACAAAATTCAATGATGAACTATACTTCCAAATTATGTACATAAATCAAGTTCATCACTAAAATAATATCTAAATTGTTTAGCCTCAAAGGGGTTAACAAATACTCACTGCTAACGAGTAAGTTACTTTTTGGATACGGTTGTGCTCAATATAAACAAATATCTTGATCATTTCTAATGCTTCCACAAAATCAAAATAATCACAAGATAAAGAATGAATTAGACGAATTAAACAAGGTTATCAATCATCCTAGCATATACTAAATAATAGAGGTTTCTCACAATTTGTGGCTTTTGGTCCTAAGTGAAACAAGCATTCAATCAAGTTGCAAAATAAAACAAAAATACACATTTACACAAAGTACAAAATTCTTAAATCATTCTAACATTCTATAAAGCGGTATAGTTTACCTCACATGCATTCAATGCTTAACATCCTACCATCACCATCCAAACTCGGTCAAAGCTTTATTGAATACTTTTATACAAATAACAACCAATCTAGGAGTAGTTATCATCATTCCTAATCATACTAGAGAAAACATAAAAGGAAATAAATATACAATATAAACAAATGTACAAGCTTAAAAATATAGAAACTATTGCAATGCGACTCAATATCTAAACACCAATCTTCGGCAACAACGTCATTTTGTTCGAACTGCAATAAAGCGACAAGAAGCAAAAATTTAGTTTTGAAGGAATTTCCTCTGGGTTTATATCGTCTCCACAAGGATCGGTGCAAGGGAAAGAACGCCGTTCAACGGTCTCTATATTTCTAAGCTTGTTTTGATTAAATTAGTTAAAAGATCAAAGGGACCATAAATAAAGGCAGAAAATCTAAAGTAAAGACTAAAATATAAATGGTGCCTTGTTGGGATTGGATCTCATTAATTGATAATACATGTATTCTTCTAATCATGTTATACACAACTCAAACTTTCGTCCAATATTATCACATATCACCCACAACAGAGGTTATGTCTCAGGCAAAATCGAGAGGTCACCCGTATTGTCTCATCGATGATATTTCATGCAAAAAAACTAACACAGAGCATTAAGAACTGATACTCACGTGAATGTTTAACCTAAATCTATGTCTAGAGTTTAGAATCAACATATATTACTATAACATTCATATCAAATTAATGATTTGATTCATATATAACGTCATGATCAGAATACATACACATGATTAAACCTTTTTTACATGCATTCACCTAATCTTCCAAATATATGTGAACAAGTTTCTCATTTATATTATCACGCATCCTCATAATACCGTCCGCGTCAAGAATATTATCGTCGTTTCTACCGCGTTGATCCTACTCATGCTAGTAATCAACATAATATGATGCAAATGAATATCAACTTACAAAATCATATCAAAATTTTGCTCATTGATAGATAAAATTCTAAGAGCAAAGAATTAAAAAAAGTTTTGTTAAGACCCACAAATAAGCAATCAAAGACAATCAACAATAGAGAATTAAAACTAGCTCACAAACATACATTAGATTAAATATATAAGGTATCAAAAGATTACACCAAACCTAACAAGAGATTGAAGATCATATCTTTTCCCTCTTAGGATTTGTCTTTCTCTCTCTAGAATATACTTGGAATGAAGAGAGACAAAATTATGATCCCAAAATATACCATATGTTTCTAAAAAGGAAGAAAAGTACTTATAAGTATTTAAAAAATATGCCATGTTGACACTGCGAACTACCTATTCGCCTAGCGAAGTCTCCTTTTTGACACTTGAAGTGCCTCAGGAACAGTTAAACTGCCCTGGGAAAATATCTGAGTTTGTTGTGCGAGCAATTCTTTGCACTACGAACTACCTCGCTACAAGTTTGCACAACGAATTTTGGGTCTTTTAGCTATTGACTTCCAAGGTTTCCTCCTCGCTGGGACCTCGTTGATAATTCTCCCAACGAACATTCGCTGGCTGCTCGCTACTGTTCGCCCAACGAACATTGCATAATCTTCACATTTCTTTGACTTCCTTGTCCAATCTTTTGTGTCTTACTCGTTGATGTTTTATGCCTAATTTCTACATAATAACACGCACATCAAAGAATCCAAAGGGATTTTCAATATATTTGAAGAATCACACAAGAACAAGAATTAAATCTATGAAAACATGAGACTTGAGTTGAAAAGTGCCAAGAAAGAT